CACTTTTCAGACTGTACTTGGCAGGAAAATGGTGAATTCCATGGATCTGAGCTCACTTTTAATTTTTCTTTCATGTTTTCTCGATATTTCTGGCAGGGTCAGGATTCAGAGGTAGCATCGGACAGGAGAAAACACACAGGATTTATCATCAACGGAGTGCGTTCAGACGAAGCAATATTGAAACTCTATGTCAAAATGAGTTTCTAATGAAGTTATTCAGGGGGGCCTGGTCTATAATCTGTGACTCACACTTTCTCCCATCCTCCGAAGACCCTGTCTGGGAGGGTGTATGCTCAAATGAGAGAAAGCTTTCAAGAGAAAGAAGAACTCAGCTGCTGGTGAAGCACAAATCTCCACTGCATATCCAACTTTAAAGGGAAAATGCCAGCATTATCTCTCACAGGGAGCCAAGACCAAGACATTCCAGTAAAAACACATTCCAGGCCTTATTGCGATCACGCACGTCACTGCAAACAAAGAAAGCCACTGTGGGTTGTGCAGGTGGCTTCGGCCATCCATCCCAGATCCCACGACATGGCATTCAACAAGAGGACAGACTGTGGGCCCACAGTGGTCCTAACCTCAGACCTTTAGAGGGGAAAATGCCATCCCCAACTTAGGGCAATGATGCTTCTTATCATGAATAAGTATTACTATGAAGAAACTTTTCGACCAGTTCTGGGGTAAATGTCACTTTGCTCTGGTTCAGACTTCTGAGTACTGGTTAGAAAATGCAGGGACAGAGGAAGAATCAGGGGGGACCACCTGGGAAATCACTGGAATACAAACAATTGGTATAAAGGCTCCTGAGGGCATGGGTCACCTCTGAAAGGGGAATGTACAGGAATAATGTCTTCTTCAAGTCTTTCAGTGTTACAGTCACAAAGTATGACTCTATGTGGTGGAATTTCCTCCAGTCTTTGGATTGTTCACAATCCCAAAGGTCAAATGCCCAAGCCAGCTCTATGTTCTCTTTCTTCTATATTTGGAATTCTCACCATTTGCTCCAGTTCCACCCCCCTCTTCAATGTGACTTGGTGAGTTCTAGAAGACTGTGCATAAGCTGCTGCATCTTTGTAACACAAAAGGGATTCTCCACCCGAGGAGTTATCATGGGAATGTGTCACACACAGTTAAGGACAAGGAACAGGCTTCATCTGAAATCATGTGTCTTAACTAAACACCCTCCTCCCCCTTCCCACCACAGCTGGGAATTGCCTGGCTTTCAGAGAGCCAGCATTTCTCAAGGGCTAGCGGGCAAGTCACTCCCTAAAGCACCTGGGAAACAGCCTCCATGGGTTGTGGTTCTGGGAAAGGCTGGAAGGGTAACTGCTGTCAGCTCTCAGATTTGCTGCCCTGAGATTCTCAGCAGCTAGGGCCTAGGCTAGGTCTGGGTCCCTTATCAATGGCTGTAGATGGTGACAAAGACCCATGGTCCCCTGGAAACCATAAGAGTTCCAGGATACATGTGTTTATAACTGGCTAATGATGAAATCGTCTATTGAACTTGAGAGCTACAGAAGTGTGAAAAAAAGTGAAAGAGAGAGAATGTCATCATGGGTGGGATTTTGAAAATCACTGAACTCATCCATTCAATTTTCCAAAGGGAGCCTGAAGCCTAGTGAAATTATTTGTTCTATATTACACGCAGTCATTCTCCATTCCAACACACACACACACACACACACACACACACACACACACACACACATGCACACTGGGGCTTGAACTCAAAGCCTGTGCACTGTCCATTAGTTTTTTGCTCAAAGTTGGCATCCTACACCACTTGTATCATAGCTCCACTTTTGGCTTTTTGGTGGTAGATGGGAGATAAAAGTCTCACTGACTTTCCTGCCCTGGTTGGTTTCTAATTTTGTTTCTCAGATAGGTAGCTGGGTTACAGATGTGAGCCACTGGCACCCCACTCATGCCAGTATGTTTTAGAAATGATTTACAAATGAGTTTATAAAGGCACTCTCACTCTTGGAGGAAGACTAGGAACGCAGCAAAAGTAACCATCAGCAAGCGCACAAACCATATCTTCCTCCTACACACACCAAAGATGAAATCCTCACTCTTCTGTGCATTTCTCTCGTTCCTCTCCTCCTAGCCCATCTGCCTCTCTCTCTCTCTCTCTCTCTCTCTCTCTCTCACACACACACACACACATACACACACACACACCCTACTCAAATACTCACCATTACTACCATTAAGTGGGAAGATGGCATGGGGGGCAGTTGTTTTTGTTTATTTTGTTTTGAGCCTAGGTTTATCCATATACCCCCAAGCTAGCCTAGAACCCATGATATCCCTGCCTCACTCTCCCCCTAAGGCTGAGATTATAGGTGTGTGCCACCATGCCTATAGATACTGTTATACGATTGGAACAGGTATCATTACATGATTCAGTAGTGGGTCCTCAACCAAGCTTTATTTATTTTTTGGGGGGAGGGGTCCGGTCGTGGGGCCTGAACTCTGGGCCTGCACGCTGTCCCTCAGCTCTTCAGCTCAAGGCTAGTGCTCTACTACTTGAGCCACAGAGCCACTTCCGGCTTTTTTCTTTTTGCTTATGTAGTGCTGAGGAATCAAAACCAGGGCCTCATGCATGCAAGGCAAGCACTCTACCACTGAGCCACCTTCCCAGCCCCCAAGCTTTATTTTTTAAAAAATAGTCTAAATTCATACAAGTTCTTTCTAAAACTAAGTAGCAGAAGCCTTTACTTTCAGAGAATATAAAACACTGTCTGAAAATGCAGGCACTTTGATTGCCACTCAGCAAATCTCACAAGTTACCACCCAATATCACACGCCTCAGTTTCTGCTATAAACAAACTAGAAGGAACGAAGCTTGTTTCTCCATGCGCACGGAGCAAAGGAAACTCCTCTAGTCCTGGCAGTGGAAGGCCTTACGGTTATTTTGACTAGGTTTTGACTCCAGAGCAGGCTCAAGGCTTACTTCTATCACAACAGTCTACATAGAAGTACTGTATTTTTCCACTCTTCTTAAACATCTGTGGACTTGATGCCCATGATCTAAAATGAAATGCTGGGAGAAGGAGAAGGACAGGTAGACATTTTGGTAGAATTTTCCCCTGAGAAGGGATCTGTTGAGTGGGCTCATGAAGGATGAAGCTGGCATTTGCAGCTAGAGGATCTGGAAAAACTAGAGCAAGGAAAGACTGAGGCACTGGAGTGCTGGGGCAGACAGGGGTGGGGAATGAGGATGGAGGGGCTGTGAGGCAGGCGAGTGGACGGCAGCTGTCAGAATGCCCTGCAGACATCATCAGGGCCACACGGATCCTCAACGAAGGAACGCTCTGTCCAGATCTGATTTAGCTATAGCCATAACACAGATCAGGGAATGGAAAAATCACTGATTTGAAAACACGGGGGTTCCTTTGGAGAGGCTCCTCAGGGATCAGCCTGAGCATGGGGACTGTCTTTTGAGGCTTACGAGGACCGTGTGCACAGACCCCCAAGGATAAGACATGATAAACGAGGCAGGGAGGCCATGCCCCAGAGTTCTCTTGGAGCTGGGTTGCACCAAGAGGCCAGAAAAAGCCAGGGAGAGCTGGCACGATTCCACACAATAGATCTAGGGGCTGGTGTATATTCTTAGTCCCAAATCCCTTCTAGAGCAACCAGGATGCAGGTGGGCAGGGCCAGTGGTCCAGGGGTGCAGGGTTAGCATCCCATCATGCCTTGCTCACAGGAGAAAGCATGTGACAGGAGGGAAAGTGATGGTCATGAGAGGGTGGGGATGCCTGCTATGAGGACCAGATACATTGGCTGACACGCAGTGGTATGAATGGAACCATTGCAGGTATGAGGAAGACAATAAGAATATTCCAGTAGAGGCTGGTAAGGTGGCTCAGTGGTAGAGTGCTTGCCTTGCATGCATGAGGCCCTGGGTTCGATTCCTCAGCACCACATAAGTAAAAAGAAAAAAGCCAGAAGTGGTGCTGTGGCTCAAGTGGTAGAGCACTAGCCTTGAGCTGAAGAGCTGAGGGACAGTGCCCAGGCCCAGAGTTCAGGCCCCACAACCGGGACCCCCTCCAAAAAAAAGAATATTCCAGTAATAAGCATTACTGTCACAGGAAAACATTAGGTGCTGAGCTAGATATTTTTAATATTTTACAAATAGGAATGAAACTGCCCATTGTAGAAGCAAGGACACAGAAATTCTGGGAATAATAAAACTAATGATTAAGAAAGGACATAGTTTGATTCTAAGCCAAGCATGGCAGTTACAGAAGTCCCAACTATTCTCTGCCCATGTCACACCCTCAGCTCTAAGAAAACCACAATTCCACCTTTCTCTGAAGGAGCTAGGGACTCAAGCCATCAGCAAGAGTAAGCCGCAGAGCAGCCACAGCTATCCAACGATTTGTTCCAGAAAGAGGAAGAGGTGTCCAATCAGAAAGCAAGCTCTATAAAAGCCAGCAATTAAAAATTCAGGATTCAGCTGGGCACCAGTGGCTCAGGCCTGCAATCCTAGCTACTCAGAAAGCTGAAACATAAGGATCAAGGTTCAAAGCCAGCCCAGGCAGACAAAACTGTGAGACTCTCATCTCCAATTAACGACGAAAAAAGCCAGAAGTGGAGTGGTGGTAGAGCAACAGCCTTGAGTGAAAGGCAATGCTTAGACCACAAGTCTGAGTTCCAGCCCCAGTATTGGTATGCTCGCGCGCGCGCACACACACACACACACACACACACACGCACGCACGCACGCACGCACGCACGCACACACACACACATACAGAACACCTGTTACTGATACTAAGTTAGATGTGATGAAAATGGGATGCTTTTGCCACAAAATATAAGTAAAAATTAGATGCCCCAATAGTCTTGCCTAATAGGACCAGATTAGAGAGGTCCACTCAATAGTTCCCAGCAGAAAAACCACACACCCAGGTAACAAGATGCTCTGGTGTAGGGTGCTCCCGCCTCCACCTGCAAGTTCCCTTTTATGAAAACGGCCTTGGCTTTACCTTGCAAGTCTGCATCATTGGCCTTTGGGCTGCTTCTGGCTCGCCGCTCAGTCTTCTTGATACCGGGGCCCCCGCCGCTGCCGCCACCTCCACCACCTCCGCCGCCTCCACTGTGGCCCTTCCCGTAGCCATTGTACACGGTGGTGCAGCCACTTTTGTAGAGGGTTGAGGGGGGGCTGTTGAGGCGGTTCTGGCGGTCGATCTGGCGGTCTTTCAGTTTTTTGTGCGGGGGCTTGCTGTACTGGTCTTCTCGGGTGATGTAGCTGGACATGCCGTACAGTGGGATGATTTCTAAAACGCAAAGTAGAACAAAGGCTCAGCCTGCAGTGGCAGCAATAAGTGCTTTGAAGGTCAAAGGGCCTGACCTCTAGGAGGAAGAATTCCTTCAAAAGGAAGAATTCCTATCAAAAATACTTTGAAGACAATGTTATATGTATGTGTGTTTTGTACCATACATGTTTAATATGTACCTATTCTTTTCTAACCAATCAAGGGAAAATCAATTATTAAAAGCCACACAGGGCATTGAGAAATTTCCCATAAATCATGCAGGAAAATGTAGAAGAACAAAGGGGAAGACCAAAATGATTGGCTTTATTATATACTTCATTTTGGAGGCCAGTACTGGGGCTTAAGCTCATGGCCTCAAGCTCTTGCTTGGCCTTTTGGCTCAAAGTTGGTATTCTAACACTTGGGCCACAGGTCCACTTCAGGCATTTTGCTGGTTAATTGGAGATAAGAATCTCACAGATTTTCCTGTCCAGGGTTGGCTTTGAACCATGATCCTCAGATCTCAGCTTCCTGAGTAGCTAGGATTACAGGCATGAGCCAGTGGCACCTTGCTACATACATATTTAAGTTGCTTAACAGAACAGATCTTATGCTCTCATGAGGGAAAAATTGAAATCTATAGTTTTAAGCCAGTTTGAAATTATATTTTAGCATCAATCAAAATGCAATCTATAACACAGATATTGGGTCCTTGTATCAGGGCCTGGGTGCTGTACCTTAGCTTCTTTGCTCAAGGCCAGTACTCTACCACTTAAACCACAGCTCTACTATTGGCTTTGTAGTGGTTAACTGGAGATAAGAATCTTTTAGACTTTTCTGACCAGGCTAGTTTTGAACCACAATCCTCATATCACTGCTTCTTGTGTATCTAGGCTCAGAGGTGTGAGTCACAGGTGTAGGTGCCAGGCTGGGCCTTTGTATCTTACAAGGTAACAGGGCTTTACCTACACCAGGTCACCATATGAGTTACTATCCAAATCCACTCCTGTGAGAGGGAAACAGAGGCTGAAATCAGGGCCCTGCAGGCTCACAGGGGCATACTGTGCTCTGCAGAGAATTTAACCTCTTATTTCAGTTGCTCAATTGTAAACTTCAACTCCTCATTTTCTTCCTGTTCACAGTAACAGAAGATCTTTAAGAAGAATATTTTTTACAAGGTAAGTCAATTCGTACTACAATGCTCACAAAAATAAACACAACCCTATTCAGAGAGATTATGTGTGAATAAAGCATATCAAGATGGAGGGCAAGTATTCTAGATGGCATAATGTATTCATTACATTTCAGATTTAAAACACTCACACAGGAACTGCTACAATCATCATTTAAGTCATGTTGAAACTTTTTAAACTCTTAGGGCTCAAATGTTGAAATGTTTTTAGCTATGCACATTTCAGGAATGAAAAGTATATAATTATTTGATATAAAGATTTTACTGAACTATTGTCTTTAACTTGAAATTAAGGTACATACTTTTCTTATTTGGACATTAATCCATGGTTTTATTTTAATGAAATAAAAATACAGTATAAAATGGAGAGGGAGATTTAAAAAATAATTAGTCCTATTGGCAATTTAAATCAGTTTGCCATGACTAAAGTCACAATGGGTGTCACATATCTGAAACCCTTCTCCCAAGCTACTGACGTAAGGTAGGTCAGATACACAGCGTGAAGCGAGTAGAGTCTCAGGCCCTTCATGCTGCCTGTCTATACGGCTCAGACCCTCATAGTTCACAAACATTGGGTGAAAGTACTGAATGCTTCCCCCAAAACTTATTATTTCACTTTGTTTCTAAACATTTCCCTATTATAAGCTCGTTGCTTTGATTTTTTGGGGGTGGAGTGGGGAGAAGGGAGTCATATCACTAGGTAGAAAAAGATCCAACTCTTAAGAAGTCATTGATACTGTTGGTGCTATTGATTCCATGTTCTTTTCTCATCTCTCTACATCCTGTTATGAAAGCACCTGATTATTTTGAATTGTATTAAATTTCAGATTACTTTAAAAAAAGAAAAAAAAAACCCTAACAGATTCTACCCCTACCACAGGATATTTCACTTAAAAGTACTCAGCTCAGATTTTTTTTTTGTAATAAGAAAATACAACAGTATAAAATGAATACAGAGGACAATAATGATACCAAAATTGATACTGCTAAAGGAATGTTAGATAATAACTTGCTCAAAAGTTCTACAATGTGACAGATATACCTTCATACAATTTATCTGAACCAAACCAATTAAATGTTTAAAACCATAAAGTGCTTCAATTCACAGACTCTGAAGAAAATCACTCTGCAAAGTCCTAGAGGTTTAAAAACTAATTTTGAACTGGCTTATCTGGTTCTGTAGTATCCACTTTAACAGAGCAGAGTTTCAGACTAAACTAACACCAAGGCCAAAACTTTGAAATGACACAATGTCGGCCGCTCCAAGGCTCTTCGCTTTTCAAGGTAAGTATCTGCTTGTCTCCCGAGGGCCCCACGCCAGTCACAGGATCTGTGGATTGTGCCAAGCAGGATCTTGCCAAACCCCAAAGGATATTGAGTCTTTACAATCCTCTACCATTCGAAATGGGACACAAAAACTCTTCAATTTCCTCTGAATGGGAAGACTTAACACACGCCAAGGATATAATGTGGTCCAGCTCTACCTCAGGCCATTCTTCCACACGCACGTGAACAGGATAGAAGAGTATCTTGAGCATCATTGCCGCTCCTCCCACATGGAAAGTAGCTACACCACTCCCTGGTTTTTCTGGGCTTGGAATCAAACCCAGGGAAAACATTTAGGACAAAAGAAAGAAGGAATAGAGTAGTAACCCTCACAAGGCACAAACCAGAAAAGAGGTACTAGGGGTGTCCCCCGAGTTTTACACCAGGCCAGATCCTTTTCTTTCAAGTCTGTTACAAAAGAACAAAAACGCTTCCAGGCATTGAAGTGTGAGCCCAGTTTTAAGGGCTCAGCGTGCCAGCCTGGATGTGGGGTGTACTCACCTTGCTCGCTGTAGATCGTAGGGGGAAGGTGATGCTGTGGGAAGAACTGGGGTGGCATGTCTCCAGGCACAGTGACAGGTGGGTAGTAGGCCGCGTGAGAGTTCTGGATAAAATGGGGGTGGTGCGTCAGGTACGGGGGCAGGTGGTGGGTCGGAGACATGGCAGAGGGGTAACTTGGAGGGTAGCACTCAGGGGACTGGGGTGTAACTACCACCCGGCGCACTCCAGTACTGTCTTCAATCACCTGAAGAGAAAGGCAGAAGGAGAGGAGGCAGAATTAACACCTGAGCTGTGCCCACGCAAGGTAAATCCCCCGTTCACTGCAATTTTCTTCTTCCCGTGAAAAAGAAATCACTTCTCCGCTATCCTGGCTCTGTAATTCAACCAGTGAAAACCAGTTCTGAGAGGAGTGCTGGAAGGAGGCACTTTGGAACTGTTAAAATTCACCAAAATAGGCTGTTTGTAAATGATCTGATATGATACTTTCTAACTTTCCTAAGAGACCAGTACTTTGATAAGTCTTGGTTTTGTCATCAAGAGTTTTCTCTGCTTCATCCAAGACAAATAAATTTAATGTGTGCTTCAATAGAGTGTAGAATTTTTCTAGAAGGAAAATAAAAGCTTTCTGAGCTGTGTGACATTTGTAGGGCTGGTTCTCCTGGCAATGTTCTGTCCCATTGCATTTAATATGCCCATTTCCATGATCATAAAGGCTTTCAGAAACACAGGGACTGTTCAAGTCAAGTCATAGCCTACAAGGTTACTGGAGCTGGTATTTCAATGAAAGGATTAACATATGAGAAACTTGAACAAGCTGGGTACCAGCAGCGCATATCTGTAATCCTAGCTTCTCAGGAAGCTGACATCTGAGGATCAAAGTTTGAAATTAGCCTGGGCTAAAAAGTCTATGAGACTTATCTCCAATTAACCACCAAAAGGCCAGAAGTGGAGCTGTGGCTCAAGTGGTAAAGTACCAGTCTTGAGTGTAAAAGCTAAAGGACAGTGTCCAGGCCCTGAGTTCAAACACTAGCACCAGCACCCAAAAAAAGAAGGGAGGGAGGGAGGGAGGGAGGGAGGGAGAGAGAGAGAGTCTTTAGGAAGCCAAGAGCCAAGATCAGTTAGCTAAAGAGACACACCAATAACTGGTTTAATCAACTACAAATAATCAAGCATACCGTATGATAGATTTCTTTTTAACTGAAAACTGAACCTGTCTATTGAAATGGATTTCCCATTACACCTCAGGAGGCTGATTACAGGCCAGAATAAAATGATTTCATCATGTCTAACAACAATAACAGCACTCTAAGCTTAGCTTTATTGGGGGGAAAAACACATTGCTGTAACCAAATAGCGAGTATATAAATGCTTAGTGTCTACTTCAGGCATACAGTAAGTTAAACACAAACCAGCAGCCATTTTTCTGCCAAGAAACGGAAAGTATCTAAATAAATATATTAAGATAAAGTTTTCTGTGGTGGTAATACCTCATTAAATAAAACAACATTAACTCCTTAAAATTAACACTGAATCTCACTGCACAGTAGAGCTCAGGTCTGTTTTCTCTGTGTTCTTGAATAGAAGTAGCTAGCCCTGTCTGGGCCTCAGAGAACTATAACCTGCTTTTATGTGCTGATTTCCAAGGGTATGTGTAGCAGTGTTTATGACACTCACCTCCTGCAAGCTATCTGCTGTCTAAAAGGCAGAGTGGACAATGCTATTTAGAACACCTTGTGCAATTTTCCTACAAGTGTTATGAACTGATCCCACCTCAAATACAAAAAACACATTATTCTATCTCTTCTATCCTCCCCACCGTCTAACCATAAAAATAATTGTATAAGTAAGAGTATAATAATAAAGAGAAAAAGCAGACTAAGTGTTGCCAAGAACATCAGAAGGAAAGACGGTAGCTTATTTCAAATGTTTCTCCTTGCTAGGGCTTTCGTAAAATCCTGTAAGGTCCCCAGAAAGAATTTTCTCAAAGTTTCTAGCCTTTATTATTTCACAAATATAGAAACCTTCAATCAACTACACAGACCACACTGATGGGGTATAAGAGAAACAGGGTCCTCACTGAATGGGAGGATACATTAACTTTCAACAGGATGGTTGCCAAGGAAATAATTTATTTTCTTATTTGTTTGTTTGCTTATCTGTTTACCACACTGTTCAGGCTGGCCTTGAACTTGAGATCCATCCTCCTGCATCACCTTCCTCAAGGCTGGGATTATAGGCATGAACTACACACCCAGCTTATTTTCATCATGCCATCACATAACTTTTGACCTGCTATCATGCTTTAAGAAAAATATCACTAACAAAGAAAAACTTTACAATTTGGGGGGGGGGGGGAGGCCAAAGATAGCCAAAAAATTATCTACTACTGTATTTAGTGATAATGTTTGTGCTAATTTAAAAATAACTGTGTCAAGGTAAAGGATAAATTGTCCTTCACACATGCTCCCCAAACAGGTTTCCAGATAATTCAGATAATTAAGTAGATAATTAAGTAGCTTTGGGAAACCACAAATTGCTTATACATATAAAAGATGTTTGATATTCCCCTTTCCAATTCTCCTAAATTCTTCTGTGGCATTTGCCTAAGATAGACATGCACACATTACAACACACTTTTAGAGAGCTACTTAGGACCCAAGTCTGTGTTTCACTACCCTCAAAAATAAATAAATAAATAAATAAAATTAAACAGCAATTCTAAAATAAGCATAAAATACCAAAAACATGTACTAATATTTTGCTTACTGTTCTTTCATAATATGAATTGCAACTGATTTTAGTTATCAAATTCAGTTGTGAACCATGTCTAATGAAATTATGCCGATGTTGTCACAAAGAACAGCCCCATGTAAGGACTGGTTATAATGCAAGAAAGCAATAAGCCACTTGGGATACTATGCAGAAATATTCTTTGCTTAATCAAGATGGTTCACAAATAAATCTAGTATTGTAGACATAAAAAAAATCCAGAGGCTATCAAAAATCTGTCTTCTATTTTCCTAAAACACAAATTAATTTCCTTTTGGGGACCACTGAAATTAGGTCAATGTCCAGAGACAGACAAACCCCATCTTCAACAATTATTGCCTGCTACATACCATATAAATACCAGATATTCAAAGTTGAGAATAAGTAGGTACCAAACAACAGAGTATAGCAACAATATAAAAGAAAAATCAGACAAAGCCTTATTGAGTGTTGCCAGGGATACCAGAACAAAGAATTGGGATTTCAGAAGCCAGAACTGAGTGTTCTGAGCTTCAACATACCTGATGCTCAACATGGTGTCCCCTTGGAAGGACAGAAGCCTGGACCACCCCAAATTCTCTCAAGTTCAAGTCCAAGGGTTCAGGACCTCAGCATGTGCCTCCTTTGGAGTCAGGGGCTCTTACAGATAATCTGATATAAAGCAATGTCACACAGAGGGAGGGGTCTCTAAACCTAGTATGATAACTGTCCTAAGAAGATACCAGACTCCAGAGGGACAAACAAAGACCAGGGGAAGGGCCCAGAGGAAGCCAACCATCACCACAGCAAGGACAGGGACCACAGGAGAACCCACGCTAGCCCTTACCTTCTGTCCAAAACTGAGAAGCCTCTCTCAACATAGCTTGCAGGAGAGCCATGCATCCTGGCCAGCTGCAATTTAAAAGCACTTGGACACACAAAAGACTCCTCCCCCCCAAAAAAAAAGTCCTGATAAGTTAAATGAATGAAATAATTAGTCTTCCATCACCCATTTTTAAAAAAAAATAGCTTTTCTGTGACAGATTTCAAATGTGTCAAGAATAGCAGCACATTTTTTTTTATCAAAAATTCCCCACATAACTCTGGTGAGCTTGGACTGGTCTTCTCTAAAATTTCACACAATGCTGAGAATGAGGACACAGCGCAGTGCCTGGAATTTTAGCTAGTAAGAACTCAGGAAACCACACACCATCATACCTGATCCTCTTAAATGAACTCAGTGTGATTTCATTACTAGTATTTATACAGAAAGATGCATGTCCAGTGTCAAGCACACTTTTCTACCAGAGGAACGTTCACAAGGTTTACCACTCACAGATCACATCTCACTTTTCACTGCTGAGCTAGTTCTGGCCCTTACCATGGCTCATGTGGAAAGCTGGGCTGTTCTTTGTATAGGGGACAGATCTGCCACATAAGCACTGAACTCTCTTAGCCCAGATTGCAGACAATAGATCCAACTCCTCTGACCTTCATGGGGCATGGTAAGAAGAAAGGAAAGGCTGGGCAGTGGTGGCTCACACCTGTAATCCTAGCTACTCAGAAGGCTGAGATATGAGGAACAAGGTTCAAAGCCAAGCTGAAAAGAAAATTCTGTGAGACTCTTATGTCCACTAAAACACCAGACATAAAGGTATGGCTCAAGTGGTAGAGCACAAGCCCTGACTGAAAAAGCTAAGGGACAGTGACCTGGCCCCTGAGTTCAAGTCCCAATACTGACATTAAAAGGGGGAAGGGGTGAGTATGTGGAAGGATTAGTATAAAATAATTCTCAAGGACCAGCAAAGACTGACAGGAACACATGGCCATGTGTTTTATTTTACTGGTAAAGTTCAAGTTGAAAATGCTGACCGAAATTGAAGGCATTATCCTAATCTTGTGAGCTTTCTAGATTTCCAACTGAATGGTTGAAATCATAGAACAGTATTTGTGAACTTCATTTTTTTCTCCACATCTAGCCTTAATAACATTTGAACATTCAAATGTGTTGCCATCATCCATACTCGGAGACTATAAACCCTCCAAGTTTAGGACCCACCCCCTTTTCTTTTTTTGGGTTCGGGTACTGGGGCTTGAACTTGGGGACTAAGTTTAAGGAAATGACTGTGCTTGAGAAGCTGGACTGAGAGAAATGATTGGCCATCTCTTGAATGCTGATCAATGGAGAGACATAGCCAACTCCATGCTGCTCTGAGGATCATTTCCTTGGAAACAAGGAAAAGCATTCTAGGGGTGATAATACACAGATCAAAGCCCTCCACAGTCAACCTAACAGACCACTAGTACATTCCTTGAAACCTAGCTACACAGCTTTATGGAACAAGTTAGTTTTCATAATGTTCATAACTCTGAGACAGCTCTGATAATTAACTCAGAGAAGAACAAAGCTGGAGAACAATGAAGAACAATGCTAGAAAAACAAAGGGAAAGACAGGCCAAGAGATCTGGTGAGGATTAGCACAGTACCACCCGTGGGTGGGGACCCTAGAGACCCAAGCCTTTTCTATTTGTATACTGCATCCCACTTGGATTAAGTCATCTGTCATGAGGTACCAGGAAGAAATAGGGTGAATCTTTCCCAGAGATGGACAGACCCTGGTGCTAAGCATTGTGCTACTCCACAGTGGGGGCTATTACATTAGAGCCCAAGGCCTTAAACAGGCCCAGGGACTCTAGCCTGCAAGGTAGGGGCCATTACATTAGAGCCCAAGGCCTTATACAGGTCCAGGGACTGCTAGCCTGCAAGCTTGTAAGGTGGACTGAATGCAGGGAACCCTGAACCAGAAATCTTTTTTATTTTTTAGTACTTCTTTTAGTTGTAAATGTAATCAACAAGTTATAATAGTTTTAGCAGTACTTCAGGTTTTGATAGTTTTAAAGCCCAGATACTTTGGTAATACACTATAAGGTTTATTAGGTAACAAGATATATGCTGATCGCAACTATAAAATTACTTGTTATTAGTTGCCAGATAGTGATTCTTTTTTTTTTTTGGTGATTAATTGGAAAGAAGAGTCTCACGGACTTTTCTGCCTCATGGGATTTCCAACTGGGATCCTCAAATCTCAGCCTCCTGAGTAGCTGGGATTATAGGCATAACCCACTGGTACCCAGCTAGAGATATCTTCCTTTAATTAAGCACTCTCACATCTGCCTGTGATGGCTTCTCAAAGTAATTCAAAGTATTTTAAAAAACTGATCATGGAAACTAAATAATTCCTAACTAATATGCTTTTCCAAAAATTCACAATGTACAGGACATCTTCCTAACTTCCTATTAAAAATTTTATTTCTTCCAAAGAACATTGAAGAAACCTGATTTTCTTATTACTGATGGCGTAGGGGGTCTCCCTCTCAATTTGTCAGGGTACAGTACAATCCCCACATTCTTTCTGCCTGATCTTAACAGTGTATAATATAAGATGAAGTGGTAATTATAAAAGGAGGCTAACTGTAAGTCATATGACCAGGCTGAGCCAAAAAGGGATGGGTAACCAACAGGCCAGATTATATCTCCAATGGGCTAATTCCAGCCAGCTCTGCAGAATAAACAACGTGAAATTTAAATGTGCTTTTCAAAATGTCTTCCCCTCACCAGAAGAAACAATTTCTCATTAACTGGTTCATTAACAAATCCACAAAAAAATAATAATAATGGAATGGATTAGAGTGACTCTGTGTGTGTGTGTGTGTGTGTGTGTGTGTGTGTGTGTGCACAAACAAGCAAAGTGGTTTTCCTAAATGATAGGACAGTGATTTGGATGTTTTACTTTTCTTCTTTTCACAGATCTTTTTCATCTTTGGGTAACATTTGAAAATCATACCCAAAATTCATATGGAGCCATGGAAAATAAAACACAGGACATCTGCTTAAGAAATTTTTACATGGAAATTATTTAGAAAATTAATGATGGGAGGAAACCACAAGAGCCATGGCCAATGTACAAGGAGAGGAAAACTCAGCCGACCTCCCCTTACACACACACACACACACACACAAGAGCCATGGCCAATGTACAAGGAGAGGAAAACTCAGCCGACTTCCCCTTACACACACACACACACACACACACACACACACACACACATACACACGCACACCCGACAAAGATTCAGAAAGACAAGCCCTGCCAGACGGCCACAGGATTTGCTGTAACACAGTGAATGCCTGTGCCATGGTTTTCTTCATTCTTCTTCTTCCTACTGTACCCAGTGTTACTCATGGATGTGACAGAAGAAACTAGACAAGAGGAAGCAGCCAGGGTGGAACATGAAAGGCGAGCTCATGCCTGCAATCCCAGAAACTCAGGAGGTAAAGAACTGGAAGATTATGGCAGGAGGCCAGCCCAGGAGAAATGTACAGTACAGTCCATCTCCAATTAACCAGCAGAAATTGGTGCTGGAGGTATGGCTTAAGTGGTAGAGCATCTGCTGTCAGAAAGCAAGCCAAGTGAGAATAAAGCCCTGAGTTCAAACCCCAGTACCACCAAAAATAATATGGAAAGGTAAACTCTCAATACGTCTTGTATTCAAGGATCCCAATCAAAACAGTCTAGTGTGTAGCTCAGTGGTGGAGCGCCTGCCTTGCGCATACAAGGTCCAGAGTTCCATTCTCAGCACCACAAGGAGAATGGGGTAGGGGCTAAGAGACAGAACCGTGCCCGGGCCTTTCAGACTGCTTCTTCCTCACTTTTCAGTTCCAAATGAAATCTATTCCATTCTTACTACTCTTCTAGAGTCTTGTAGAATTTTCTCACGATCAATCATCATTGGGAAGAAGTGTCACTTTGCTTCCAATTCAGGTTTGCAGAATTGAGTTTACATCTTTGTTTTTGCCCTTTCCTTTTGGATTTTTTAATAAAAGTTTTTTCAGAATCCAAAATAGACCCAGGCCAAATATTCTCCATTTTACCTAGGACTCACTTCCAATAAATGTTTTGCATTTAATATAATCACAGCCACCCCAAAAGGAGCAAAAGGCTGATGGAAATGGAATGCTGGATGTTTTCATTTTCTTTTTTTTTTTTTAATGCCAGTACTAAGCCTTAAACTCTGCCTCATACTCTCTTTTTGTATTTCCACCCTGGGTCTCTACTGCTTGAGGAATGCCTTCACTTCTGGCCTTTTACTGGTTAACTGGTGGTAGGGATTTTATACACTTCCTGCCCAGGCTGGCTTTGATCTTAATCCTCAGCTCTTAGTCTCCTGAGATGCTGGGATTACAGGCATGAGTCACTAGCTAGAATACTGGAAGTATAATGGCTTTCCATCAGAGAATGGGGGTTATGAAAGAAGGTGTGATTTTTGCCACCATGGTGGCCCAGTACCTATGTCACCTAGGTAACTGGCACACCTGTAGGTAGTCTTTCCCTTCTCCCAGATCGCACCCTGGGCCGCCCCATTCATGCCTCCCATTGGACCATGGGAGGGTCCTAGGCCCTGAGGTCGCATCTAGTATGACCACACCTTGTCCCTTCCCTTGGCCTAGGTAAGTCCTGGGCCAGGGGTGGGTTGCCCCTTTGGCTTGTGCACCTCTACCATGCATTGCAGGGCAGCAGTTCAGTAAATAAACTTCTCTTCCTGACTGAGTACCATGTGGTGTTCTCTTTATTGGCTATTTAATTAAATCTACCTATTTAATTTACAAAGAAAGAAAGAAGGAAGGAAGGAAGGAAAGAAAGAGAGAGGGAAGGAGAGAAAGACAGAAAGAGAGAAAGAGAAAGAGACAGAAAGAGACAGAGAGAGAGAGAGAAAGAAAAAGAGAAAGAGAAAGAAAGAGAGAGAAAGAGAAAGAAGGCCAACTTGACTCACATAAAAGGATGGAAAAAGAAATGATAGTGGCTGCAGTATGCCTTATGCCATAAAGAAATGGATAAGTTTTTACATCACAGAAGGAGAAATCTTTCATTCCTGCCTGAGCTTCAGTAAATTGCCTATGCAATCGCCAGTTGTTTCCACCCTAGCAAAAAATCATTAAAAAGTAAAAATTACAGATTTTTAATACTCTTTTAAAAGCAGCGGCAGGCAAATCAATAAGGCATGAGGGGAAAACTCTGAAAGGCTGTAACCTCCAAAACATTAACATTGTGACTGTCATCTCATATTCTTCAGGCTTTTGTCCTGTTTTTTTTAAAATGTATATATCATACTCTTATATAAGTCAGGGAACAAAGAACAAGAATGAGAGAGTGGGAGGAGGAGAGCAAGGTAAGTGGGGGAGGAGGGAAAGGAGAGAAAAGAAAGATGGTTGGCTGGTGAAGTATTATGTACTAGGAAGGAAAAACACAGATAGGAATTTAGTGATGACAGGAGAGTATCTTACATATTCACTAACCACTGCATCACAAGTACCCTGAGCACTTTATACAGGACCTAGGCTGAGAACAATAACTTCATCCTCTTGAATGTTTTTCTCTTCCAATACATCTCTGAGATTGCTACTGGTAATATTTTACTGAAGAACAGACCAAAATTCAAATAAACTTAAGGGCAAACACCAAATTCTCACATCACACTCAGTAATTCTACAGGCCTACCTATGTCACTTTAGTGATTTAGAAATGTAACTCTTACACCAGAGGGCAGCCCTACACCCATTTTTTTTTTATATTGGCCTGGTTGTTGTCCCTTAGTGTTTTTGCTCAAGGCTGGTGCTTTACCACTTGATCCACATCTCCATTTCTGCCTTCTTTCAGTGGTTAACTGGTGATTAATTAAGAATCTCTTAGACTTTCCTGCCTGGGCTGGCTTGGAACTGGTATTCTCAGAATTCATCCTCCTAAGTAAGTAGGTTTGCAAGTGTGAGGCAATGTCGTTGCTAATTAAGTCCCAGGAAATTATAAGACGGATGGAAGGTAATTTCTAAATCAGAAGAATCCGTGAATCATGAAGCAGACATCAGATGTGGTCACCTACTTTGACAGAGGGCAGCCCAAGAGCCTGTTTCCATTTCTCTCTGGCTCTCTGGCACCCCAAGTGGGAAGATCTGGAAGTGCTGCTTGCTGCCACAAAAAGAAAGGCATTCATTCAATCCTACCCAGCAGCTTTCTGGTAAGTAAACTAAGGCATGGCGGAGTGCAGAAGTACCTGTGAGATATAACCCGGTGGCACGTGGATGGGAGGGATGGATCCATTAGGTGACATCATGGGAACTTCAGCAGGTCCTAAGAGGAGAAACAGCAAAGAATTAAGAGGTGAAGAATCATACTGCATTCTAGTAAAATGATCATTGATACTTTTGATATAGGATCAAAATCCAAAACAGTCATTTGTCTAATGGTTATTTAAGAACTAGCATCTCCTATCTTATCTGAGACTGAGAATGAAAAGGAACTTTCCAGTTATACAACTCAAGGTAAACTTGCAAATAAATGAATAAAACAACTATCAGTGCTTTGTGAATATTTCATGACTCCCCAAGCCTCAAGTTCCATGAGCCAAGACTGATTAGTAAAGAGCAGTGTAACTTTCAGGCATGGGAGTGCACACCTGCAATCCCAGTATGGGGAGGTAGAAGCAGGAGGATTGTAAGCTCTAGGACTATGAGACCCTTCAGCCAAAAGGAAAAGAGGGGGGAGGAAGGAAGGAAGGAAGGAAGGAAGGAAGGAAGGAAGGAAGGAAGGAAGGAAGGAAGGAAGGAAGGATTCTACTACAGCAAAAAGTTTCTCTTTTTTATTTTTTTTGCATTTGAAAATGCATTACTGGCTGGATGCCGGTGACTCGTGCCTGTAATCCTAGCTACTCAGGAGACTGAGATATGAGGATCATGGTTTGAAGCCAGCCTGGGCAGGAAAGTCCACCAGACTCTCATCTCCAATTAACTACCAGAAAACCAGAAGTGGTGCTGTGGCTCAAAATGGTAGAGTGCTAACCTTGAGGCAAAAGCTCAGGGACAACACCCAGTCCATGAGCTCACGCCCCATCACAAAAAAGTATTACTGATCAATGTTTAAACAGATTAATCAAAGTGAGTTTCTAGTTCAAAAAGTTCCTTATAATGTTTGGGTTTATGATGTTCAGTCACAGTTTTATTTTTAGTAAGCTGTTATAACCTGCCCTTAATATGAAAGACAGGAAGCCTTGAAAATACTCCAAATCGAGGGGGGACCAAGATGGCGACGGGGCAGTAGGGAAACGCCACAGCTCTCTCCAACCAAAAAGAGAGTTCGAGTTCCAACGCTTAATCTC